ATAATTTAAATAAATAAAATAAAACAATATCAGTTTCAAAGCATTTTTATTCTACAAGTAGGCAGAAAAAGTGATTTATTTCAGAACTGTTGGAGAGGGGGGGAGTGAGTGGAGTATAATGAGCTGGAGCCCAGGGAAAATACGACCGTTTTAAATCAGTTATTTTTTGCAAGTGTAATAATAAATGATAATCGGTTTCGCATTATGGAGGTAGTCAGGTAGATACAACTATGATACAACTTTAATATAACTATACAACTATACAAGTACTCAATGTTAACATTACCAAACAACGTAGGTACAAATCGAGTACGAAGAAAAAAATCATATACGAAACGTCCATCATGATTTGTTGAATTTCTTATTTTATTATAATGGCATGGACACATGGTGTACAACACAAAGCTGCGTCGGCGCGTCAGTAGCGTGAAGGCCGTTTTATTTTTATATAGGTAGGACGATTTGTATATGTAATGCACTTATGTGTATACATTACACATATTATTGGCTAGATTTCTAGCCATCTAGATGTTTTAAAGTTTGTGTGACAAAAGTAGGCGGATTACATCAAGTTCACATAACGACAATTTAATTTTAAAAATGAAACACTCTGTACAATACTATAATAATATTACGACCAATGTAAGTAAGTATACATGCTTAATACATTACTACTTCTGCGTTACCCACATGGTCACAGGGCCCGTGAACTTTAACTCGTTACAAGTTTAAGAAAAAATTATTTTTGTTAAAAACTTTTTTAATATTCATACAATTTATTATTGTGTTATCAGTTTACTTCTATTTAGAGTCTTAGATTTGCCAACATCACGAGAAAGGCAAGTTTGGTTTTTCTTTTTCATTAGTTTTCTTTTGATTGTTCTACCGTTTGACGACGGTTTATTTACGTCACCGCGTAATATTATCTACTTCGAAAATTAAACTACATATAAAAAACACTGCCACTTATGTGAGTGATACAGAGTATAAAGTAAACCTTGACCGTTTGCAATTTATATCGGAGAAAAAACATACAATAACTCACCGAACGAAATCCCTAGCAAGTTATAAGTATCGTTTATTGTGTTATACTTGTGCCATACGCATACCATCGATATATATAAATACATAATATACGCATACATTCACAAACTTATCAATTTGCAAAACTAACCACCCTTATTTTTGGATATAGTTATATTTATGATAAGTACTTATTACTGAATACAAATATGAAATAATGTGATATATCATTGATCATTGTAGTCTGGTGTATCTAAAAAATATTTTTTGTGCTTTCACTGCACAGATGATTGATATTCTCAGAGTTATTTATATTTAAAGCCGAATATTTGATTATTTATAATTACCAAGAAATATAATCAAATACTTTAAGACTCGTGCCCATTCATTTAAAAGTATTTTTATTGTATTGTTGGTCTATCCGTGCTAGCAGTATATAATGTTCGTATCCACAAAGTACAAACGATCAGAGAGTTCCGAGGGTTAAAACAAATTTACAAGCATAATATTTAAGAACATTTTTATATTATATCTGTTTTAGTTGCCTACCAAACATTCACACCCATTTCGTTTTATTTTTAATATAATTTTTGTCACTTTTTATCATTGGAACATTTTTAAATATCAGGTATAATGAACACAAACATAACTAGCTTTGCTTGTCTCATTTTTATCTGATCGCATGTAGAAAATACAACTCAGTGTATGTTGACGAGAATATCGAGGATATGGATGAGCCATTATTTTAAAATGCAGACGATGTCTGCAGGTAGCAATAGTTATACAAACTTCCAAAATTTTATAATTAGTAACTTTATTAGGTATTTATAAACAATAAATAATAATATTTTATTAAAAACAAAATTTTAATATTTAATAGTGAAATAAAAATATTTTTGCATACCAAAAAAACCATTTCTCTTTCATATACATACTATAATATACTGTATATATATACAGTTAAACTTCCATAATATTAAGTCTCATGGTCCATGGGCTACAATAAGGGAATTCGTTAAATATAATTAAATAAATTTGATTTCAATTTCGTTTGGTTCTCAAAAAGATTTCGTTTAACAGAACATTTCGTAAAATCTAGTCTATACTAGAAAATAATACAGTATTATTTTATACTCTAATGTATAATTGCAATTATGTGTACCTACACATCGATAATTGTTGTAATGCTGTGTGCAGAGACGAAACGGACATGGTCAACTGCAACTCGGCGGTCGTCGCCAGCACTCAGGCGCCAACGTTTTACAGTACACTGTACACACACACATAGATGATATATATATATATTATGAAACGTATTATGAGCTTATACAGTTATACACACAGAATTTTACTATATAGTAGAATATACAGCACAGTTTAAACTAAATTGCGCAATTTTGTCCTTTAGAACGAAAAATTTTAACAAAATGTAATTATATTACTGTATAGCTATAATATTGCTGTCGACGTATTATTTTTATCTACGACAATGTGCACGCTAACTCAAAAATACATATTGCAGCTGCGCCGACCTTGGAGCGGTCACGTCGTATAGATTTTCCGAGGCGTCCTTTGTACGGCATCGGCATCGTCACACACACACACACACACACACACACACACAGCCAAATAACGATGACGGTACCAGGAATTCAATTGTAATTTTGATATATTTTAGAGTAAATAATACCATAAAAAATACGTTATATTATTTTTAAAACACAATAGTATCAGGACCGTAAATACTTAACGAGTATACACGTTTTTTAATTTTAAGTGGCAGCGAAACCAGAATACGAAACCAGCTCAAGTTGATGTAAGATAATAATTGCATGTACTAAAATTTATAATAATAATAATTGAATTATGTATAAAACTGTAAACTGTTCATACTTCAGAACGGGTGGTAAATGAGAAGTACCAGTGTGGGATTTTATTCCTGTGCAACACTGTGATCGATCAAAATGAATTGGGAAAACTTAAACTGTACGCGATGAGAAATCGTGTGCGTCTTCGTCTTACGACGGTTTCATGCTGTTGCTATTAAAAACCTATTAATCTATTTAGAATATTAAAAGAGATAATTTTAGGTTCACAAAACCCAAATTGACTTTTTTTTAAATGTTTGTAGGAATCACTTATGATCAGTACCTACTAACGTTTCTAAGTGAAAGCTTATCTTAGGTTGGTCACTTAATCGCCAACTAGGTACTATAATATTCACTATAACACTCTTATAGATCATTCGTATTAATGTTATTCAATAACATATTACACTGAAGCTACTTGTTGAAATACTGAAATGACATTCTTGGCATGAAATAAAAACATATTTAAGACATTTTTCAAGAAAAACAAAAGTATATTTCCTTCTTTTATTATTCATACGATCTTAGTATCCAACTGTTTGGGTTAAAATCATGGATTAAGTAGTAACTATACAACGAAGTTCATCATATCGAGTGAACTCCAATAAAACAATATTGAAAAACAATTATTGATGAGCACAATGTTTGGTCAATTTTAATTTCCCTTCAATATTCACAAGTAAAACAAAGGACCAAACGTAATTTGGGACAACTGAGAATACATAAACATATAACGTACGTGCTACCCCAATAGTAATAATAATAATAATAATAATAATAATAATAATAATAATAATAAAAAACAAGTGTTATACACTATAACATAAAATAATAATTTTACGTGCTAATGGAAATCTGCTAAAAATTGCACATAATTTAATATATAATATATGTCTTTTATACAAAAATATTTTTCTAAAACAAAATAATTCATGTTTTGTTTGTAATGTAATAATATTTAAAATTTAACTAATTTAACTAGAAAATATATATTTTAAGTTAACAACAAAATTGAATCAAATGTATAAAATATACTATGTACAATTCGATAAAATATAATTAATTTAATTAATAAATTTAGGTACAAACAAAAAATTGTATTATAAATTTATTTTATTAATACTCTAGGAAAACGATCCTTAAAATTATTGTTTGTTTATCGATTTATAAATATATAACATAGACAAAATATAACGTCTGTATAGCATATACATGTGGCAGGCACAGATACAAGCGGTTTTAAAAAAAAAATATTCATACATATGTTTATAATTATAATTTTGGCACTTACAACGAGTAATAATGAGATTAAAAGTTAATTATTTTTTGATTTATTATGATGCACTTATGTGCATCAAAAACATCACTTTTATCCGATAATTGGTGTTTATGTCATCAGTCGTTTTTTTCTTACAGAATATAATAATACGTTTATCATGACAGATACATTGTACATATACATTGTATAGGTATACATGTGATTTTCATTTCATATTATTTGATAAATTCTATCAGCCATGACTCAAAATTCTGTATTAAAAATATTGGCCAAACGTTGAAAATAAATAATTGTATCTTGTATCGTTGCGAGTATCTCATCTGCGTATTGAAATCAATGCTCGAATCATATACATGCACAGTTATAGTTAAATATGAATACTCGCAGGAGCGCATTTAGTAATATCATGGACTAGCTGTCGACATTGAACTAAAACTCTTAAACATATTGTATTTGCACCTGAAAAAAAAAAAAAAAATTAACATACATAACAGTTTTCACTCGTAATTGCTATTATTTTAACGCTGCATCTGTGTGCTAAAAAATTATGGTGTTCAGTGGAGTGAAACGTATGCTCGTCCAAGGACGCAATATAATATTATGGATGTGATTATTGTACGCTAACACAGTACATGGAATACAAAAACTGATCATAGGATGTTAGGAAATTGACCTCTCTGGGTAAAGAAATATGAAATTCATTTAGAACATTGCCAGAATAGTAGATGGCGTTGGCGTTATAGTTTTGACTTAAGTTCAGTATACCATTTCAATAAGATAATAATATATTTCTAAAAACATAATATTATCTATTATATTATTCAATTACTCACCATTGGTCGTTATGTACAGTTTTTACTCCACTAGTAAGTTCGTAATTATTTGGTCTTCAGTTGCTGACTCTGAAATACAATTATCATCAATTATTTAAATTTTTTATAAGTATTCTAAGTAGTAGCATTGCTTATACATACACACATAGTAGTATGTATAATACTGTTATGAATATCTATTGATTGTTATGGCCTAATAAGAAGATCCAAATTTAAATGTTCGTAATGAATAAAATAGAATATCACTAAGATATGCTAAGAGAATGCGCTAAAAATGATATTTTCGGGCTAGTATTGTAACGAAATTATATTGAAATATGATTATAGTGGATGCATGCTTCTGCTTTAGTATACTTCAGTATTTCTACTCGTCGACGACAGATGAAGATGAATCAACGCACGGGTGCACCTATATTGCCTATACGATACGCCTGATGAAAATACGTAGTGATCTACTTTACACAGAAATCACTTGAAAAGCTAATAGTACCAAGGACATTCTCCATTTAACAGATAGACAATTTATAGAGACAACAATAAAGAAAAATAAGTAATAAACTTACCATGTGGGTTGCTTGTAGCCCGAGTAATTTCTGCAACTTTTGCAATTGCTGGACTAGGGACCCATTGCTCTCTTCGAGATTTACAATTTTCTTTTTATACTCGCAATTTTCGGTGACGAGAATGTCCACCTTCCTCTCCAAAGTATCCATGTATTCCTTCTTCTTGCGTCGGCTCTCTTGTGCCGATATCTGAACAGATAAATTACAGTAGTCAAAAATTGATTGTTGTAACAAATCAGATGCGAAAACGGTTACTCAGTAATATTATAACATTTAAAATTATGGGATAGTTACCTTGTTTTTAATTTTCCTTCGGATTTTCTTTAATGACTTCTCCTCGGCCTTGGTCAATGGCAACCTGGTAGGTATCGGGTAGCCTTCGGCCAACAGGGTGCGTTTCTCTTCTTCTGTGAGCGTCAGTGCGCCGGTAGAACCTTTTGGCTGACAGCTGATCAAAGGTGTCTGTATGGGCTGCCGGCTGCTGGTGATGGTGGCGGAGGCGGCGGCTGACGACGAGGACGACGAGCACGACGACGACATCGTCGACAGGAACAATCGCCGCGTGGGCGACGATCGGTGGTGCGGTGATACGTTACCGCCCTCGCTGTCGCTGGACGTGGATGAAGGTGGCGTGGGTGGCAGTGAAAAACCTATAAAAGGGCCACAAACGAGAGCACCAAGTAAGTAAGTGTAGAATGTATACTAGTCTGTATAATATATAAAATATTATATCGCTTTTGTGTGAGCAGTGTATACATGATGGTTATGGAAACATATAGTCCTCGCTCCCGCGGGAGTATAAGTTTATCTACCACGTTTCATTATGCGTTACCATTATACCGGGGCCACCATAAAAATCCAGAGTATAGTACGATATGTCGTAACATATATTAAATTGTATTGTTATGTAAGTATATTATGTGTATGTACATAATATTATTATATGTCATTGTGGTATTACCTGTGCCGTCCATTTTCAAGCCGAAGTTTGGGACAATTAATCTGTGTGGTTGGTTAAGGAAAGCTCTTGAGGTCAATACAACTGTGGTGGGTTCTTTATAACTGGTTTTCTGTACCTGTAACATTTAAAAATATATTTTATTATACAAGGTATATAGTGGATTTTTTTCAAACATCTCCATTTGCCATTAGAATATTAAACAACTCTGGTGTGAGGATTAAATGGGTAAAAGGATGAACATTTATTGTAATGTTTGTATCGAAAGTAATATATTCTACCATTATTATAATTGTATAAGAATTATGTAATAATACGTCATATTCAAGGAGATACATTGCAATATATTATGCACGGTGTAAACGTGTAAATGTTTTTTAGATTTTGAGTGCATCGATGAATGTATTGGATTTACAATGTAGTATGTACAATCTTCATACATATAATTAGCATTTAAAATTTTTAAATTTTTGCAGCATCAATATTGTTTTAATTTTAAACTTCATAGGTAGTTGCAGGAGAAAATTGGACCTAGTTGGTACTTATTAGGGCTCAAAAGTAAAAATCCTCAAACTTTTCTGATTAATAAAGAGAAAAACTAAAAAAAAATAAAATGGAAAAAAGGGTCGAATTTATAAAACAAAACGCCAAAATGTTTAACAAAATTGATTTGGTGTTTTTTTTATAATTCAAAACGAATAACTGTAAATCTATGGAATTTCCATAAAATATTATAAACATTTTATAGATAAAATATATTTTTAAAATATTTGTAGACATTTTTTTTAATTTAGTTTTTTAAATGTTGATGACAATATTTGTGCTTAGAAAACGATTTCGAAATTTAAAAAGATGTTTTTTTATAAGTTTTTCTTACTTACTGGAACTTAAAAAAAAAGAGTGTAAATTCATGAAATAAACTAAACTGTAAACACCTACTATACAGTGATTTCCATGGTTTCTTTTTAAACTTTCAAAACATTTTCCGCTTCTAAATATTAAAATATTTTTTATTGTATTGCATTTTGACAGATAAATGTGTAACTGGTGGTTAATTTTAAATGTATTAAAAAAAATGTATTTTTATTCAATTTAAGTAATTATGGAAAATAATTAGTTTTGTTGTTTTAAAAGGATATTCAAAAAAGACTGATTTTGTAAGTTGAGTTTAGAGAAAATTGCTATAGAGTGGTAAATAATTTACTATAGGTGTGTCGTAATAAATTAAGTTAACATTAACATAATATGCATAATATAGAGGTGACATACCCGGGGCATGGCAGAAACCTACGGGTGCCCCATTCGAAATTCTGCCAAAAACAAACACACACGTGTTCCCCCCTACCGTCCCAAAATATACAATACACAACAAACCTACAATACAAATCCTACTACAGCTAATGGCCTCAGTTGCCGAAGCTTAAGATCAAAAAAAAAAAAAAAAAAAAAAAAAGAGGTGACATAATGTTTATTAATGTGAAAATATATAAGTTTATAATATATTGTTGAAATACTAAATATTTTAGAAGCAAAATATTTTTGTTTTGCGATTTACTAAAACTAACAAACATTGAGCCAATCAAAGTAAAAACAATAATATTGTATTAAATTAAAATATATAATAGGTATAATATATATATATTTATTTATACTGTAATATTTAATTAAAGTTAAAAATTAATATTAATTGGCTATTAAATTATTATTTTATTTTTATTTAATGCTTTTTTTGTCACAATACCATAATATGAAGTAGTTTATAGAAACGAATGATTAAAACGTATTAAAATTCAAGAAATATTATAAACACAATAAACCTTAACACTAATTACTTTAATTAGTTAAACATTTGGGTTCCAACTTAATCATTCTTACTTTTCACAACAATAATGTTCAAATAATAATTTATCAACTTTTATGAGTTGTTATTATTACATTATTTTATTGAGTATCGGTGTACCTGTTGGCCTACCAAGAACGTGTCATGATTAAGCAATCGAACATTTAATTATTGAATTAAATGTATGAAAAATTGAATGAATTAAAAACATTATATATTGTATAGAATTTTTAATGTTATTTAATTAGCCACAATAATATTCTTAAATTTGTTTTAATTTATATTTTTTTTATCAATTATTTATGTTTATTTTACCCGGTAGTGTCATTTTTCTAAGCGAGTGCCAAATAGGTAATACTAAGCATTAAATAATTTAAAATTAAAACTCGATTAGTAACATACTAGTATTATTATGATATAGTAAATAGTTGCTATTAAAGTTGTCATATTTGTTAAAATAACGTGAAAAACACTAATGAATATTGATTTGTTTTGGCGATTATTACTGAAAAAATTGATTTGTTTAGTAGCATAAATAAGTAAAATCTCCCGACTGATAAGTCTTATGAAATATATTGGGCAAGACATCATGCTTTTTATACGGTTAAATAAATTCTGATCACTCAGACATCAGGAAACATGACATCATCATTGTATATTATTTATTGTAGCTACAGTAATGGGAGCCGTTACATGTAAATGAAATCTAGGTAATATAGGTTTATATATAGGTGAATCGAAAAAAACCCGTTAAATATATCTATCATATTCTCTCTTTTTAATGATTTTTCTTAGAACTATTACATTTTGTAATACCTAATTACATTCAATATAATTTAGCATCCAGATATTTTTAGTTTCTCTTTAAAAGAGTATTCCACGGTTTATTTTTAAAAATGCATAGGACCAACAAAATGACAGTATTACAAACAAATTAAGTTTGTAAATTATCAATAAATACTATAATGTTTGAGATAACGAAATAATCATTAATTCAGCATACTAAACGTATGGTTTGTTATAAAATCAACATGGATTATAAATCGATGAAGTGGGAAATCTGATTTGTGAAGATATTTAAATAAAAAGTATTAAAAATACTTCTGTACCTACCTATAATTTTATTCAGGTTTCAAAAATCTACAAGCACTCATTATTTGCTCTTGCATTATATTATTATACTATCGCATATTTTCACTTTTATATTAGAGTATACAAGATAACTATGTTAAAAACATAGCACCCAATGATTTTATAGGTTAGGTATACCTTATATTTTGCTATTACATACAGAATTTTATTTATTAACGATACAATATGTTTATCATATTTTATTCCATTAAATAGTATAGTTTTTTTATTAATAAACATTCTGTTTGTAATTGCCACCACCTATATTATGAAATACAAAAAAAAATAATAATAATAAAATATTTTCAACTAATTTAAAATGCTAATTTGTGTTGTACCTTATCGAACTATAAATTTAAAAATAAAAATTTTATTCCATGAAATTTTTGTGTGAATAAAAAGAAGTTATAATTACCATAAAAATTAATGGTTTCTTTTGGAATACATTGACAGGTCAGATTAAACAATCGATTTTAAGTTTTTACAGACAAACTGCTAGCTTTTAATATTACCTTGCCATAATGTCTGGGCGTATCGTCAGACGCAGAGCACGGTGATGGCGGGCAAGAGGAAGTCTCAACATATTCCTGGTCACTCATCGGTTCGTCTTTTACTGAAGTCGTGTCCTCTTTGATATTTATCATTTCAATGTTACTGGTACGATCGCATCTCACATCATCAAACGTCAGCTTGCAAGTTCCATCCTGACTGCTATCTTCGTCCAAATCTAAAAATTATTTATATTCATAATTAACAATACAAAAATTGTGTTATATTGTACTTTAATGAATTACATAATTGAAAAATAAATATGTTAATGACCCATTATAGTTCAATCCATTCCATTTAAACTTAAGAAGGGTACTACATGAGAGATATTCTCAACAAATATTATGCAGGTAACAATAAATTTATAAATAAATATAAAACGGGTGGAGACAATTTGACCACGGAGTAAATATTTTCCGTAAGGGAAGTATAAATTAAAAATATTATATTAGTTCAAAAGACAAGAATGTTTGAATGTCGATGACCATCAATGATGAAATATACACATTTAGTATTAGAGTATACCTAACGAATATTGTAAAATAATATTTTTTGGTTAATTTATTTTATTACACGTATCATTCCATGTGTATACAACAAGTATAATATAGGTAGGTCCTGTTGAGTACATAGGATTAAATAAATCGGGTTTTTTGCCTTATTTAAAAAAAAATACAGTTGCCGCTGTTGTGGTACTTCGATTAAACAGCTATGTATAACTACTATAGTACTACACCACACCACATGTACGATATTTTATATTTATATTTATGACGGTTTGAATAAAATTCGTGACATTTCCATAAAAAAAAAAAACGTCAACGCCATAAATATTCGATATGATGATTACATATTATATATTTTTGTGTCAATTCGAAAATCGGTTGGCAAAATCAAAGTTTACTAGAGAAGGGTAACATTGCAAAATTCGGTTGTATGCACATCACACATGTATTTTACCTAATTAGGTTACTATCAAATAAATGTATATGTTATATTGATATATTATATAACACCTACGCATCGCATTTAATATTTGCTTTACAGGAATAAAAGAAAAATTGACATACTCCGGTATCGAAATAATTAATTTTTTATTATCACTATTACATTATGCGATGTATACACGTCATGTATGTACAGTGAATATAGTGATAAGGAAATTCCTTGAAATATTTATAATTTATCGGAAAAATTAAAATTTGTATTTACCTATATAGGTATATTGTTCATGTTTCATATTTTAAATGACTTGTTTTTAATGTTCAACTTATTGTGATGTATTATATATTATTCGAATGACAAATATTATATGAGATTAGGAAGCCTTTTAGTGACGATAGTTTTTCAAGATTGAAAATCAATGTGAAATAAAATACCCTTTTTTAGTAGCAGCCACCTGCTGTTTATTCGTGCAAATTGACCGTTTTCTTTCAAAAGAATATTTACAAGATATCGAGGGGAATATTTCGGAAGTATTCCTTGTTTCCGGGAACTAATATTCCTATAGTGGTCCATCACCATGTATACATATAGGTAATGGGCATATAATTTTTATGTGTACCTATATATATAAAACAAATGACCATTTTCTTTTAGTGGAACACGTAACGGGTTTCGTCTTCCATGACTCGCGGCCGCCGTTGCCCCCCCCCCTCCCCCCTTCGGCAAAAGCGGTTCACGGTTCTTCTCCGACCAGTGCATTGCATTATATTACTATTATTATTATTATTATATTGTTCCACGGCGTGCAGAGTAGGTATTGCAGGAATGCGGCGAAGAATGCGCCATTTACGCCGAGCTCGTACTTATATATATATATATATATATATATAACATGCGATATATATTATATGGCGAATTACGAAACCCGGCGACGAATGATGCGCGGCGACGTGACTCACCTATGGCGTCCAGCGATTCGCTAGACCCGTGCGTGGTACAATACGAGTGTTCGGCCTTGATAGGGGCATTGCCCAACAGCGCGTCGGTCATCAGACGGTCGTGCAGTACCACGTGAGAATTCGACCGGCCGTTTCCGCCGATCAGCCAATCGGACGCGTCTTCTGTGCCCCTCAGCGCGTCGCTGAAATCCTGCGGAACACACAAACGTTTACGTTAGTAAAATAATATGGTCGTGCACACGAGACATCATAATGATGTTGTATCACATAATTATATCCGTTAATATTGTTGTCACATTATATAATGTGTCGTTCGCGCTTCGCGCACTTGAGACATAAACTCAATGCGTACGCGATCGGGCGAAAGAGACAGCAGAACAAAATAAAGGGCGCAAACGAGACACGCGCGCCTAACACCTGTAATGTATAAATTACGATATATATCGTATGAAAAATGATCGACGTGACATTCCCGACCGCGTTAAGTTTTTTGTTTTTTTTTTTTTTTTCAAACTCCCATATAAGGTCAATCGTATAATATAATATACCGGCGCGCGTTATAGAGGTTCGATATTGTAGTTATTATTTATCACCCAAGAAAGTGGAGAAATTTTCGCCAGACACGCGCGAACGAGTGCTGCTGAGCCTCCGGCGACGTTTTACGACCACCACCGTACTCGAATAATAATCGTGATTGGACGACTTCAAATAATTTGTCGGTATATTTTAATTTGACATCCGATGCATGTGACGTGACGCCCACTCGGATTTATATATGCTGTCAATAGTTATACAGAAACACTTACATGCATATGTTGTCGATGTAATATAATAATCGGTTACACTATTGTGTTGACGTCGTTTAACGTTTAATAATCAATAATATTACCCCTTACAGAAAACCGTACGTGATGTTTGGACGTGAACATGTCACAATTTTAGTACATATATTTTGACACAAACAGATCAGAGTCGACCGCATAGGAAAATAACATCATATATTGTTTCAATGAAAAGTAAACACAGTTCATTTTAAATAAGTCAATATATATATATATATATATATGTATACATATAGATGTTATACGAATGTATGGATAGTTTTAAAAATCCGAATGGTAACTTCACTGTGGTGTTTTGAAAATATTATAGTGTCATATTTACAATTTGGCCATGTGCGTATTTTGAAAACAACAAGATAATATTATTTTACAGCCAGGAAGTTAAGTCAACATCTCGGAGCACAATGAGAGCAATACATATTATTTTAGCTATTCATTCGTTCCTTTATATATTAAAATGTATAATCATTCGGAAGTGTACATATCTAACCTAACTATCATACATCCATAAGTCATAAGTATGTAACCATTATCTACGGTGGATCGTCATATAAATTGCTTCTAATTTAATTATTAAATTAAAAGCATTTTCATGTTTTTAAACATGAAATAATATATTTTACTTGGCCTCTTTAATTACTACCTACAGTTATTAAATACTTAAACCGTTATATTATAATACAGGTATATATTTTATTTATAATATTACTCTCATAATGTGACAATAAAGTATAAATACAAATCTAAACAGTTGAGTAATCTTCAATGGCCAATAGATTAAATATTATTATGCATAGATAATTGAAATTGTGTATAACCTGTAAACAGTTCAGTCAGTTCAGATATTACTACTAAGTATTAAATGCATAATATATTATATTCACTAGCACTTATATGCATTCATCGGTTACCCACTTTTTTCATAACGAATAATTTAAATGATCCTGCAGACTGCAGAGGACATGAAGTCGTGAATTTCCAAATTTAATGCTATTCGATTTTCGTTTATCTTGTTTCCAGTTAACATTATGTATGTACCTTCTATATAAAATATTTTGCTTAACCCAACAGAGCGAAAAACTAGTTTTTTGAATTCATTATAGGCTCTTATACAATATTATCTCGCCAGTTTTCAACAACTAAATAAAATATAAGTTTGTGTATTATACTATATATATTATAATATAATTAATATATACAATGCAACAAACGTATGATTCCGATTATTATTATTTTTTATCGTACCCATTGAAATACATTAAGTATTTTTTTTTTAGTGATGTCCTCGATGTTTTATGAGTAAGTTTTGAATAGCGTTATATAAAAAAAAAATAAAAAGATAATGTTATAATATTTGGTATGAAATAATCTCTACAGAGCTTCGCATTAATTGGCATCCAACTGAGTTTGGAATTCTTCCATGTCCATGTCGATGAATATCAAACGAATACATATTTTACTATACTCGAAACTTCGTTACCTTCTTGGGTTTTATTGGCTTTACTGTTTTGAACGTGGGGCCCTATACATCCCAACTACGCTTGCACTACGTACATATTAATACATTATATTCATGACATTTTTCCCGTTTAACAGTCATGTGAAGACTGAAGTGATGTGAAAAAACGATTTGTTCACCAAGTTCGTCGTAGATATATACTATTTTAGTATACGTACATTATACCTACATAATTATAGGGCGGAGTCGACTCGAGATTTTACACATTAAATCGTACTGTATTATAAAACCCCTTTAGAGACTAAATCTTGAGATCGAATACTCGAAGCATAAGCTATACATATTACTATATACAATCTTGGAGAAACGGAGAATATATGTAGGTACCTATATTGTGAGCCGCGTCGTAAAATGAAAAAATAATAAGTACTAATTTATCATTTACATTGCATACGAGAATGCCGCATAGGTATATAGATTCGACATAATTAATCGACACTCTACCGTGAAAATATTGGCGTAGAGTTATTCTGTTATAATTATGTGTATATGGGCATAAAATATTGTACATGTGCGTATATACATTTAAAAGAGCGATTACTTTTGGGTTACACGATTTCAGTTCGTAGCAATATTTGCGGCGGCGGCGGCGGCGGCTAGAAATGCGGCATGAATTAAAAAAAATATATATATATATTATATATATATATTATAATAAATATACGTTCGGGTAAAATGCATCCGCCTGCACTTGTCTAGCCTTTCTCCACTCTCTTCTCGCGGTACACCTACACCATGGTCGCGACGTTTGATCGTGCGCTCACACAGATACAATACATATTATTGCATTACTGTTGTTGGGTATGGGTATAACATAATGTGTGTGTGTGTGTGTGTGTGTGTGCGTGTATATACTTTCACCGTACACAGCCAGCAACCACCACTGTACCCATACTATATATAGTTTATATACCAAGAGAAATATGTATCAGCGCACGCCCACCATTGTTGAATATACATGTTTATGTTTTACACTTTATATGTATAGGTATGTATACATATATATATATATTTATATTATGTACTTTTATACTCAAGTTTATATACAATATAATATTAGCTGTATAGTGTATAAATACGTACAATGTACATGACTCTAAGCCACGCCCTTGCCAAATATTCACTCACTCGATTAACCGGTTCTTTGCCTTTCTCCGGGCCGGCCGGCAAAAATCGTTTCCTATAACGACCGCGATGTCGGCGGCGCGGCGTCCGCTATTACAGTTACCTTCAAATAGCGGTGTAGCGGCGTTTATTAGAAATGCAAAAATCCCATATACCTAGTTAACCGCGCACGCATTATCCTCGTAAATTATACGGCGATATGGTATTTATCAAAATGTCGTATTCTACGGATCCGCTGCAGCGATTCTCAGCAAGTCCATAAATAAAGGTATATAATATATATATATATATATATCTATTATATTCCACACTCTATGGTCTGTAAAGTGTATAGAGTCTACGCGGGTCGCAAATAAAAAAAAATATGTGTAAAAACGGAATGCTAGAATCTAGGACATTTCCCTTCGGGACAGAACTGCGGACGCGTTCATCCCGGTTCAAAAACATATGTACGAGATAAATTGGTATGCTACTGCGGTGCCTTACAAAATTTGTCTGGCGAAAATGGTTGGGAATATGTTGGCTATTTTGCCGGGTCCACACTGCAGAGTCGGGTTTTTGTTTTGTTTCTGTTTTTTATAAGCAATTCATATTGTCCAGTCCAACACAGACCTGGTTGGGATGAGATGAGTTAATGTTTTGTTTTCTGGTCCTGCGAGGATCCGGCATTACGATACCCCGCCATTTTTGTCACATACAATTTGGGAAACTCTGTATGATGTATTATATAATGCGCCTATAGACCTCGTGGAAAACGGAAATGCATTTTAAGCAAGACGTACAGTAAGCATGACTATTAAAGGCATATATATAGGTACCTAAATTAGGTAATGTAGTATAATAAGCAGTACGAGTGGCGTAGCCTGGATTTCTGAAAGGGAGTGGGGCAATACACATTTCTACCACTATAGTTTATTAATTAAATATTATTATATTATATAATATCATATAGATACTGACGTACTCATATATCGTATACTGCACTTGTCTATGGAGTATAATGGACGTATAACTACTGATATAAAATAAATACAAATAATAAACACAATTTTTTCTTAGGAGGACTAGAATTACGTTATGGTGATTATGACAGGACACGGGATCAAGCCCTACTCGAAAACAATATTGGTAGTAATATAAGTATAAGTTTACCGTATGCGCACGCGTTATAACGTAATAGGTACCTACATTAAGTATTAATACGCATTATGGTAATTAGTACCTAATGCTCTTTTAGCATATAATATAGATGAATGATGATATTATAATCCGCGATTTTAGAGTATGATTGCAAATCCGAATGCTATGGGGCTAGGCTCGCGCGTGTATAACAATATTGAACATTTAAACACACAATTAATACATATCTGCACTTTAAAATATTACTATGTAGCCGTGTAGGTATAAATCGTTCGCGAACAGAGGAGAAAAAAAAACGGAAAACATATTTTTGGCACCTATGCAAATATTGTCAACAAGTACCTACGTGTGACGTGGGTGGTGCGGGCAGGCATGGTTGCCGCGAATGTATATCATATTATATTTAACGTGTATGTTCGTGTGCGCGCGCACTCGCAGCGTGTGGGCTTAAACATATAATATTGTGCTACATTGGGTCCGTTTAAAAATCGAAACTTTAAGCTTTTTACATAATACTCGTATGGATATGGCGCTCGATGATGACGAAATATGCGGGCCGCAGAA